AGTCAGGAGCCAGGACTGGGGATTGAACACACGGGCCCTGACAGGACATGTCGGCATCTTCTAGCCTGGCTGTCCACACCCTACACCATCTTTCTAGCTTCCTGTCAGTCTGCGTTTCCAGACAGAAAGGCCTGGGTAGCCTTCGGTGCGATGGTTAAAGGTGCCCCCTTGGGATGCCTGCATCTGAGTCCTGCCTCTGCTGACGGTGCCTTCTGGGAGGTGGCAGGCACAGGCTCAAGGAAGCAGGGTGGGTCCCTGACACCCACATGGGAGACCTGGACAGCATTCATAACTCCTGGCTCTGACCTGGCTGCTGCAGGCATTTGGGGAATAAACCGAAGATGGAGTTTATCTCTCTCTCACTGCCTTTCAAATAAAATGAAAATAAATTTTAAAAAAGATTTATTTATTTTTATTGCAAAGTCTTATATACAGAGGGGTGGAGAGACAGAGAGGAAGATCTTCCATCCAATGATTCACTCCCCAAGCGGCCTCAATGGCCAGAGCTGAGCCAATCCTAAGCCAGGAGCCTCTTCCGGGTCTCCCACATGGGTGCAGGGTCCCAAGGATTTGGGCCGACCTCAACTGCTTTCCCAGGCCACAATCAGGGAGCTGGATGGGAAGCAGAGCTGTCGGGATTAGAACCGGCTCCCATATGGGATCCCAACAAGTTCAAGGCGAGGACTTTAGCTGCTACACTATCATGCCAGGCCTGAAAATAAAATTTTTAAATATTTAAATAGATTTTTAAAAATTAAGTGATGAGTAAAGAAATTCAGAAACCATGTTGAAGTACCTGTTGTTGTTTCAAGATGTATTTATTTTGAAAAAACTGTAGAGCAGGAGAGACAGAGATCTTCCATCCACTGGTCCACTCCACAGATGGCCAGAACAGCCAGTGTAGCCAGGAGCTTCTTCTAAGTCAGGGCCAGCAGGGCTCTCTGGAATCTTCTTCCTTGGGACTCCCTGACCACCTGGCCATGAATCCTCACGTTCTGCAACAGCAGAAGACATGTAGGACCTGTTCCTCTTCTGCCCGCCGAGCTCAGAATGTCGGGCTCAGCAGGGATGGGATGGAAGTTGCACCTGGGAATGTCAGCACCCCTGGGAGCCCACTGAAATCAGTGCCTAGTTCTTGGGTTTCTGTCCTGTGCCAGGCACTGATGCAGGTGCTGGAATGTAGTCGTGAATCTGACCAGGGTTTTGCCTTCTCAAGGTGACCCCCCAGGCAATCTCTGAACGTGTGCTGGGAACCAGACCTCACTGTGCTCCGATGCGTCTGGCTAAGCCTCACCTGGAGTCCGAAGAGTTTGTGGCGTGGACAGGGAAATCTTGCGGCTGCGACCTTGATTTCCCCCACTGCCCTTGCACGGCCGCTGGGGGGCAGCAGCAGACACCAATCAGAGTTACCGCAAAGTGCGTACGGGTGTCTGGCAGCCTTCTTTTCCAGCATTACTCTGCAAACGCATCTCCCCAGCAGAGGCTCCCTTCGTGTGGCCTGTGTTATCATAGAGACTATCCGGAGTGCCGTTCAGTCAGTCAGCCTGGCACCCAGAACAGGGGACTGTGTCCTGAGAGAGCAGGTTCCAGGCCCTGGGTTAGAGTGGGAAGTCCAGGAGGGGTGACTTGAGTGCCCCCAACCCTAAACTCTGGGTACAGGCACAGCCCTCCAAGAACCACGAGGAATAGGGGAGATGTTTGTGTGGGAGGCATGTGCACCCAGAGTAGCTGGAGATGGGGCTCCGCTGCACGTGGCTGGGTTGTAGGTCTGCCTAAAGCTGAACATGTGCTTGAAGCTGAGCTATCAAGGGGTCTTTGATCCTGGGGCCCTGCTGGTGGGGTGAGAGAGCTTCCTCGTTGCTGGACAGGGATGAGGCACAGACCATGTGGCCTGTGTGCTGGGTGCCCAGGGCTCATTCCTTGTTGGGCTCAGGCTCCGCCTTAGGGGCCCTGGCAGCTGTGGGCTGGGCAGGGGTGTCTGGGCTGAGCTTCCCAGCCCGCCTGCTCCTCCTCTATGTATTTACTGGTTTGCTTTAAATGTTCCCATTACTCAGGCCTCCAGTGGGCACCAAGACAGAAATAAATCCCACAAGGCAGTCCAGCCAGAAGCCGGGAATCCGATTCCCCCTCAAAGGCCGGAAGAGGCCCCTGTGCAGAGTGTGCCAGACCGCAGTGGCCCACACACTCCACATGGCCACGGCCGGGGCCACGCCTTCCGCTGCGCATCTGCACACCTTTACATGTATGTGCCCACGCAGACTACCCATGCATGCTCTGCTGCCCCACGCACAGCTCCTAAATGCACATGCATGCACACACAGGCCTGACAGCCAGGCTCATGCCCAGTTGTGACCACACACCAGGGTCACGGGCTTGGCCATCCTCAAGGTGCCAGGGGGCGAGGCCGCGTAGGCTGGGAGGACGGGGCTAGCCCTTGTGTAGTCAGGGAGGAGAGTGGTCTCATGGGAACACAAGCCCAGGGCTGCCAGGGCTTCTGAATTTTTTAGAGAAGCTGGAAAGCTGAATTTTTTATGTGAAATATCCTGATTTTTAAATGTTGGCCCAAGATGTTGAAAATAGTCTGAGAGCCAAACCAAACACGTCTGTGAGCCAAATTCCACTCAAGGCGGCGTTTGCAGACCATGAGTCCACAAACACACACACAAATAGACACGCACGTACACAGGCACATATACAGACACACAAATAGACACACTGGTGCATGTGTGTAAGTCACACACAGAGACATCCATACGAAAGGCACACATAAACCAACACGCAGACACACATACACACACAGACATGCACACAGGTAGACATACGAAAGAACGACAAGCACGCACAGATCGACATGCAAACACCACACATAACATGCAAATACGGACACCCCACTCCCTGCAGGGACACTGCGTGCACCCCTCTGTGTCACTGATGTGGGCGAGCTTGTTGGGGATAGGCCATCTGCGTAGACGGGGTGCTCCTTGCCAAAACTGGTCCCTAAATCGTCCAGTGTGAGCAAGAAAAGGATGGCTAGAGGCGGGGGTGCAGGGAACAGGGCACAAAGCCCTGGAGAAGGGCCTTGTGGGCTGGCCCTGAGAGGGAGTCTGACCCAAGCCACAGGGACTTACGGTAAAGGTTTGAGGTGACCAAGATCCCACCGTCCAATGCCACAGCCCGTCCTCCAGACTGCCTTGACTCCTACCTTATGGCCCTGGGAAGCAGACCCAGCAAGCTGCTGGCCACAGACCCCCAAAACCTCCAGGCTTCTGTCCACTTCATATCAAAATGGACCCTGCATTCAACCCCTCTCACAGCAGGGTGGCAGGCAGGGAACTCAAGGTCCACGATGAATGTGGGACACGCAGAGGCCCTGCCACCCTCCTCTCACCCACGGCTGAAGTGCCACAGCAGGCTATAATCCAGGTCTCCTACCTGCAAGACCCCTCCCCTTCCCTACCCAGTCACGTTTTGAAGGTGTGGACCTTGGCCCCTGGGTAGGCAGGGTCTGCAGAATCCCAAAGAAGGGAAGAGCCTGTTGCTCCAAGTGTCTTGTCCTTGGACTCCTGACCCCAAGGGTCTCTGATCCATGCTCAGGAACAGTCAGGAACCCTATCCAGGCCTGGAGGTCTGCCCGGGAGCAGTGTGGGGTCCACAGCCCACTCGAGGGCCAAGGAGCAGCTGGGATTCAGAGGGAAGTGCTGCAGAGGGTGGGTACTCACTGCCTGCCTGTTCCACGTATGGGGTGGGGAGTGGGGTTACACGCCATCCTCACTCTCTGGGACTTGCAGGTGAAGTGAGGTTGTAGCATCTCCTGATGGCCCTAGAGAACATCCCCTGCCCTGACTGAGCCTCTGGAGGCTTTGTCCAGGGCTGGGCAGAACCTGTGGCACCCTGCCTGCAGGAGTCCCAGGTCTCCCAGTGTGGGGGTGGTGGTGGGGTGGGGTGATAGGCCTGTCTCCAGGCTTAAGTCAGGTGGCAGTGGAGACTGGGGCAGCCATGAGGTGTCTAGATGCCGTAGCCAGTTGGGCCAAAGGATTGGGGTCTCTTCTCTGCACCCACTGCTGCCTAGCTCGGCTGCTGTTTATGTGTTCCCTGTGGCTTGGCTGAGCCTGGGGCCTTGAAGGGATAAGTAACCACCTGGCTCCAGCTGCTGCTTAAGGCAAACACGGCACTGACCACCAGCCAGGCCCGCTCAGGACTCTCACTTCCTCTGCCAATACCTGGATGGCCCAGCCAGGGCCCGGATGCCTCTCAGAGTAGAGGCCGCTCAGGCCCAGAGGCTCCCGGTCTAAGAGCCTGGCCTGGGGGTGGTGGGGGGTTTGGACTGAGATAGGATGTCCCATGTGCTCAGCCTGCAGGGAGGCCTAGCTAAGGACAGATGGCCTGAACTCTGGGACGTGTCCAGGTGAGCTGTGAGAGCTGGCCTGACCTGGGGACAGGACAACAGATTGGGGACAGAGGTGTGGAGCAGGGGAAAAGGCAAGGGACACTCAGTCCAGACAACAGCATTCTCAGAGGTGGGTCCATCCCAAGAGGAGGTATGACATAATTGAGGCGGGAGACCCGGCTTGGTCCTTGATGGGGATCCCAGATCCGAGGGAAGAGGCCAACCCTGTCCCAGAGGCAATCCAGATTGGGAGGAGGGGCTGGACCCCACGGGGGCCCTTGGACAGAAGAGGAAGGCACAGCCTTATCCTGAGGTTTGCTGAGCTCAGTGCTTCCAGCTGGTCAGGAGAGGCTCAATGATGGGGGGCTCAGCAGCCTGAGGTGGCAGCAGTGAGGGGGTTGGGGGCTCAGGTTGGACTCCTGCATAGCTCCACTGGGCTGCTGTCACCTCTACAAACTTGAACTCTCCTACTGGCCAGGCCGGATCCCCTTCCTCCTCTTGGGGGCCAAGACACCAGGACCGCTCCGTGGTTCCTGGCCTCTCCCCTACCCCTCCCAATCCTCCAAGGCACCCAGCCCCCTCCCCCCGGAGACCACAGAAAGCCACACACCGCTTCCTTTTTCTTTTTTCCTTTTTTTTCTTTTTTCTTATTTTTTCTCCTGGCCACAGCCCTGAGCTGGCAGCCACCCAACCACGTGTCTTTTGGTCCACTTGTCCATCCCCTGCCACACCAGCAGGTCCAGCCCTGGATGTCAGGTCACATGACCGTCTCCCACTCCTCCTGCAGCAGTGCAGGCGGCCGCTCTGGCCCTGAGGGTTCCTCATCCAGGCCAGAACAGGAGCCATTGAGGAATCCATCGTCCTTGGGAACAGCCATGGCAGGTTGTGTGGCTTCAAGCGCTGGGACACCTGGTTTGGCATGGCCGGGCAGCTGTGGGTGGCCATTGGCTGTGGCGGCGGGCAGCAGACGGGGGCTAAGGGACAGGCCAAGCCCAGTACGTGGGCCCACATTGGTCACGCTTGTGTGGGACACCATGGGTCCATAGCTGTAGCTGCTGCTCCCACTGCGTGCCTTGCGCTTGAAGTCCAGTGCCAGTGTCCAGCGGCTCCAGGATTTCTTGATCTCAGCCTGCACCTTGGGGTAGCAGAAAAGCAGGTGGTCAGGGGTGTCTTTGCCCCTGTGCTGCATGTCCCCCCACCAAGTTCTTCGACATCTACCCTCATAGTTAACAGAAACAGCAATAGAGAACCCAGTTTCAGAACCCAGTGCCCAATGGCTCAAACCCAAGATGCTTGAAAAGCCCCAAGGGTGGCCAAGTCCTTCATTGGAGTTTACACAGAACTCAGCCAACCAAGAAGTCATGGAGGGCTATGCCAGTGTAGGAAGACCCCACACATCCTGACACCTTTGTCCCAAGGAGTGTTCTCACAGGAACAGAGAACAGGGCGTATAAGTGTAAAGACATCGGTGGCCCCTGCTTACCTCGCCATTGCAGAAACAGTATATGATGGCCACAAAGAATCCCTGTGGAGAGAGGGGGGTCAGGGGCAGCCCTTCCTGCCCGCCCCATCCTGCCCTGCCCCTTGCCTGGCCTCCTGGGACCACGCACCTGGAAAGAATTGAAGAGCATCTCGTAGTGCATCTGGATCTGCCAGAGCGTCCCTGAGACCTCGGTGTAGGGCATGGCCATGAAGACGGTGTAGTGGACACCAAAGAGCGGCATGAGCACCAGCGTAGACTTCAGCAGCTTCCTGGGCCGGGGCAGGGAGGTCATGGCCAGGCCACTTCCTCCCACGCCCTGTGGGCTGCCCAGCGGCTGTGTCCCTGGGCATTATCAAGGCCCCTGGGTTCTCAGAGATGGCCTCTGTGCACCTGCTGGCCCCACAGGGGGACACACCCCCTCTTGCCCAGGGCCAATTCCTCTGTTTAAGGGTCATCCACAGCACACCTTTCCCTCTAGCCTGCTGAGGGGAGGGCTGAGTATGCTCCTGCCCCACAGACTCCCAACTCCAAGGCAGGGCCTGACACCAACTGGGCCAAGTTGACTCCCAGGTGGCCCGGGATGGGGAAGGGGGTTGGAGTGAGGTTGGTTCTCCTCTGGTGAGAAGCTCCTTCCTTCACAAAGCAGGGGTCAGTGCCCATGGCAGGGCGGGCTCACCGGTACTGCTGCCGTGTGTCACACCGGCCAGCGTTGGTCTCCCGCAGCTTCGTGGCCAGCACCCGGACGATGTTGAGGAAGAGGATGAAGTTGAGCTGCGGAGTGATCAAGGTTACATGGTGAGTCTGCAGCTTGGCTGGGATCCAGGGCTCGGCTCTACCCTTGCCTTTTGGGCTCAGACCTGGGATGGCGGGGTAGGGGAAGTGCCCAGAGGATACCTCGAGGCCCCTGGCACAGGGTTCATGTCCACACTGCTGCCCACCCCTGCTCACCACGACAGAGGCCAGGATGGGCACCTGGATGATCCACTTCTTGTGGCCGGAGCTCAAGTCCCAGCACCTGGGGGAGGATAAGGCATCAGCCGCCACCCTTCCCATTAGGCACCAAAGCTGCCCACAGAAGGTACCCCCCAGCTCAGCTCTGGCAGCAGCAGCTAGTGGGTGTGGGCATGTGCCCCATCCTCAGGGCAGGACCCCAAGGGCGCTCTGGGCTACAGGCTGGCCTCAGGGCCAGGGTATAGGAAGTTTCCTCCTGCATGTCACAGAGCAAAAAGGGGTGTCCCCTTGGCCCCCTTCTCCAGCTGGACCTACCCGGTGTTGGCCAGGGTAGCTCTGACACTAACCCAGACAGCCACAAAGATGGCAGGCAGACCTGTGGACACAGAGGGGTAGTGTGTGAGGGGCCTTGGGTGCCACTCTCGCCATCGGGCGTCACTCCCTCTCCGCCCCCCAGGTACACACTGCTGGGAGACACTGCCGCCTCCCATCTTAGTTTCAGCTAATGCCAGCACTGTGCTCTCCATACCCCGTGTGTGTGGGGGGCGGGGGGAGGGGGTCCTTGCCCTCATGACTAAGGCCAGAGGGAGGCTGATGGCCCAGACTGGGCAGGGGCCCCTGGGCTACGTTCCTGAGTCCCAGTTGAACTGGCTCAGAGGGCATAAGGTGCCACCAAGAGCCCTGCAGCCCTCCCCCAACTCCATGCTCGGCCTGGGGCACCTTTAGGGGCAGCTGTGTGCCCTGTGTTTCAGGTTAGAGAGAGAACTGTGGTGTCCCTGGGTCACCACAGGCTTCTATGTGTTACCCATCTGGTGTTTCTGGCCCCCTCCCCTGGCCAGACACTTCCTGGCCCCAGAGCCCGCCTCAGTTCCTAGGCCCAGGCCTGCCCACCCCCATCCCCTGGGTCTTGCCATGCTTGAGGTCAGGGGTAGGGTGTGTGCCAAGGGGCAGGGCAGCTATGGCTATTGACCTGAGGGCCTCTGGGTGTCATGTGTGGGGAGGGCTCCAGCCACCTGGCCCACCCCTCCACAGTTTGGCCGGTTTCCCGGGAGCCCAGCCAAGCTGCAGAGCTGCCAACAATAACGGACAATTATCAGTAACTGATCCCAGAACCCGCGGGGGCCGGGCACTGTGAGCTAAGCCTGGGAACATGTTCTGTAGAGGGGCCTGAGCCTCTGGGCCCAGAGGACACAGGGCCAGGGCCTGGGGGTGTGGACCCCACCTCCCTGGAAGGGAACTGGTGGGACCACAACAGATGCTAGTGCCAAAATTACACTCTGAACTTGAGCTCAACCTTGACCCCAGAGAATCCCTCTCCCTGTCTTCTGTGATAAATCTGACCTCAGCTGAGTTGCTGCCCTACACCAAGCCAACACCAGCTGTCCCCTGACCCCCGGCCAAGTCCTGTGCCAGGGCCTGGAGTTGGGGGTGGGGGCACAGGCATCCCACCTGCAGCCCTCCATTGTGTGGGCAGCGCCCTCCCCCTGCCCGCCATGCCTCGCCTGCGTACCCCAGCCGAAGACCGTGAAGCCCCACAGGTACTTCTTCTCTGAGAAGAAGGCCATGAAGATGAGGCTGTGCAGGTACAGCCCCTCCACCAGAATCCAGTAGTAGTTGGTGGCCAGGAAGTAAAGGAAGAAGGTCACAGCCACCCGGCAGCCCGCCTAGGAGACCAGCTGGTGTTAGCAGGAGGGCTGGGCCAGGGCTGGTGGGATAGGACAGGTGCAGGCCTGGTGATGGTGGCACAGGGGGCAGCGGGACACGCAGAAGCCTGGGGCTGGGTGCGAAGCTCAGGGGTGCCGAGGACACAGTGACCTAAACAGGGGATAGGCAGAGGGAAGGCCGGGCTGCAGGTGCCACTGGCACGGCAGGACAGCAAGCCAGGGGTGGCACTCACGTAGCCTGCGGCAGCGGCGGCTGCAGGCGGCGGGGGCGCCTGGGCGATGAGGCGCAGCTCCTCCTGGGTAAGGCGTTCGGCCTCATCCAGCGTGAAGCCGGAGTAGAGCACAGCATCCTTGACAAAGATGCTCACAGCACGCAGCATGAAGGACAGGAAAAGGTGCATGTGGATGTAGTTGCGTGTGCAGTGCAGCCGCCTGTGGGACGGGAGACGTCACCATGAGGGGGTTAGTGATAGACTGCGGAGGGGACAGTCCCGGTTCCCACACTTCAGTCCCACCCCTCACCACGTCCACCTGAAGTAGGCCAGGATGAGTACGGCTACGGTGAGGGAGGCCAGCGACATGGAGTAGCCCACAGTGTAGATGAGGCCCAGGCGGTCAAACACCTCCTGTGCAGGGTGGACACACGGTCAGAGCCCTGGGTACAGAGTCAGGCAAGGGCCAGATCAGGCCTGCTGGGGGAGGCCTTCTGGGGTCAGGATGCCGGGGGAGAGAGTGGAGTTGGAGAAGTTCGCACCCGCTCACGAGTCTCATTGCTCATGAATTTGAGGCATTCGGTGTAGTTGGCCCACGTCCGGTTGTGCCCTGGCACCAGCTCCCAGCTGCCATTGCGGTCACAGCGTCGGTAGGCGTGACCTACAGGTCAAAGGGCAGGGTGGGGAGGCGGGGTGGGGAAGAGAGGTCAGAAACTGCCAACCCACCACCACAGCCCTGGGCTCCAAAGCCCTGGCGCTCCTGCAGTCCCCCACCTGATCCTGGCCTCACCTTTGTGATTGAAGTCATAAATGTAGTCAGGACAAGGCACGGCCACCACCTCGCCAGGAGCTCCCAGCGGCCAGCACAGGATGTGGTCCCACTCCGGCAGGCAGGGGCGCCCTGTGCCGAGATAGGTGACAGAGGATGGCACACCAAGAGGGACTCAGGTTCGTGGCTGTGACCCACAGGCACGAGCACACACCTGTGGGGACAGATGCAATCCCCCAGGACTGCAACCCCTAGGCTGGCCTTCTTGCCTGCCATGCCCTCTCAGACCTCACCCAACTCTCTGTGTTACACCTGCTCCACCTTCCAGTAGAGCTGATGAGACAAGTGGGTGGGAGACCTGCAGGTCACACAGCCCCAGGCCCTGCCCTCCTCAGGGGCTCAGCCCAGCCACAGCCCAGGGTCTTCCCTGCTCTGATTCCCACCTTCTAGGCAAGTTCCCACACAACTGGGTTCCCAGGCCCTGGGGCAGGAAGACTGGATAGCTGGCCTCCAAGGCTAGCCCCAGGCAGCTGTCCAGGGAGTTGGGTGAGACCACTCCCTCTGTGTCCACCACACTGCGGTGCTATCCCTGCTGTGCCACTTCCATGGCCACTCATGATGGGGACACAATCCCCAAATCTAGATAATTAGGGTGGCAACTTCTTAGGGTGCACCTCTCTCTAGGGTCCCCAGCCTCACTGCAGACACTAAGTTGAGTGACCCTACTGGGTCCCAGCCACTGGGTCTCCCTGAACCAGCCCCAGCTCACATCTTCCATCCATCCATCTCTCCGTCCCCAACCGGGCTCCAGCCACCCTGGAAGGCTTCCTTGATAGCCCAACCTACCCAGCCTGCTGAAAGGCTCTCTGTGCTGGGCACCATGTTCCCAGCCCCTCCCAACACCAGGGCCACAATTCTCTCTGCTCCCCAGGGAGCCACAGTGTGACCACAGCCGCCCAGATGTGGCCCATCTGGAATCCGCTGCCCACCCGACCGGTTCAAACCAGCCCTGTGGCCACAGCCTGGGCTGTGTGTTTGTCTCTCCTCACCTCCCTGGGGGACGACACAGCCCTGTGTCCCCTTCCCTGCCCCCGCCTGTCCTACTGTCTCCAGCCCACTCCTCTCTTATTCTGTGCCTTGCCTAACACAGCCCCTCTAGCCACTGAGTCACAGACCCACCACTCTGGCCCCTAGTCCCTTCTCTGGCTCTTCCCCTGCACAGGTGGTCATAGCCCCGGGGCCCCTCCTGGGTGGTGCTGGCACCTAAGTCCGTTCAGCAATCCATATGTTGCCCTTCTGGGTAGCATAAAAGCTGAGGAGCCAGGAGGTGCACAATGGGGAGGATGGGGACGAGGGGGATGGGGCGGGGGGAGGTCCAGGCCCACACCCGAGGGACACACGTAGGCAGGGACTTACCTTGGTGCCTGCTGCCTGCAGGCAGCTCCGTGTCCTCCTTGGACTCGGCATAGAGCTTCCCGGATGCCTTCTCTTTTCTGGGCTTCCCTGAAGTGGACACAGATGTCCATTTCTTGTCTGACTCCATTATGTCAGCTGCCGAAATAGAGTAGGGGGTGCTGGCTGCTAGACCCATGCATGGGGGAATTGTCCTCTTCCAACCCTACTGACCCCAGAAGGGCCCCACAGGCCATGAGATGCTCCCATGTATGGACAGAACCCAAAGGCAGGGAAGTTGCCAACGGTGGGCACAAAGGTCCCAGCAGGGGGCGCCAGGGAGTGCGGACAGAGGAGGTGGAGGTGTGCTACCTAGAGGCTACCCCCAGGGAGAAGGAGGCAGAATGGAGGGAGGAGACCCGCCCTGGCCTGTGGAACCCTGGAGAGTCCGGCCTGGTGGGAGGTCTCTCTCTGGCTGCAAAGCCCTGCTCCTGGCCTGACCTGCATCCCTTCTGCTGCACCCCAAGCAGAAGCCCCGGTCTTCCCATGTCAGGGTCTGAAGGAAACTGTCCAGGGCCTGGACAAAAATGAAAACCACTATACCTATCCTCTGGCCTCCACCCTTGGATGTCAGTGGGTGTGGGGAGTGAGAAGCAGGAGGCAGGGGCTCCTTGCAGGCCAGCAGGTAGCAAAGGGCATATTTCCCTTCACCCCCGCCCCCAGGCATCCACAGTCAGGACCAGGGCTTCAGCTAGGCCCCCTTGGCCTTGCGGAGACTAGGAGCCACAGGGCTGAGTGTGATCACAGCTCAGATGCACCCTGCAGGGTGGGTATGCCGCCGCATGCTGCATCCTGAGTGTTCAGCGGCTGAAAGACCTGCTGTGGGAAGGGACCGCTCTGGCGGCTCAGTCCAGCGGGCCTTCTATGGGCTGGTTGTTAACGAGACAGACATCGCAGGCCCAGGTGGGTGCTGGGGAGACCCTGGCTCCACCATTGACTCAAGCCCCAGGAGCCATTAAACTGAGTGGTGCGTGCTTCCAGAGAACAGGGGTCCCAGAGGGATGCTGCACAGGTGAGATGCAGCTCTCTCCCCAGGCCAGGCTCCGCCTCTCTTGGCAATGCTAACAATTGGCCCCAGACACCCAATCTTCCATCCCCACCCGGTCCCTGGGGCACTCCAGCTGCTCCCACCAGGGAGCCCTCTGTCCTGGGGTGAGCTCCCAATCTGGGCCTGCCTCGCTTGACCAAAGCCCACTGACCCGTGGCTGCCTTCCTGCCCCATCCCCAGGAAGTCAGAATACTCTGGGAGGACCCTGCCTGAGGCTCTGCCACTGTTGCCTCCCACCCTTGTGTCTGGCAGATGAGTGGTGTCCAAGGACCAATGAGGGTCAACCCAAGAATCCTTGAGATGTCCAGGAGCATTGAGCCTGTGGGTCCCACCCTCCCTGCTGCCCCTTCCCTCTCCTGACCTGGCCTCCGCTGGACCTCCTTGAGCAGTTTGTCGCACTGGGCCTGGGCTCGGTGAAGCAGGAAGATCTGTTCCTCTTTGGTGAACACGTCGTCCGCGTCCACCTGCTGAGCAAAGGACAGGCTGTAGGTCAGGGGGTTCCAGCATGGGGGTGGGGAGGCAGAGCCATCCCGGCCTCTCCCAAGGGGTCACCCACTCCAGAGGCAAGGTGGAGAGGCCGCCACAGCTGGGCAACCTGCCATGTGCAGCTCCCAAGCCTGCCCTATCAGAGGGGAAGAGGGAGTGCGGTCCCTGGCCCTGCCTGCTAGTAACCCTGAGGCTGTGGCCATTGCTATTCTGTGTCGGTCCACTCCCCAGGGTCCAGGCCAGTGGATGGAATGTCCCAGGACAGATTCTCACAGGGTCCTGGCTGCCTTCTGGGGGCCTGGATGGCGGTGGGGGATGGGGACAGAAACAGCCTGGATTCCTTCACGTCACGGAGCCCTAGAGACCTTGGAAGTCACCAATTTCCATCCTGGTCCAGCTCCCCAGCGAGTGGGGAAGGCCTCAGTCCCTCACCCCTCCCAGGAAGCACAACAGGGAGAAGACAGAAGGCTTGCTGAAAGTGGCCAGTGTAGAAATGGGTATCAGCGAGACCGGCGGGAGTCCCTCACCCTGGGCAACCCCTTCCCTGGCTCCAAGCACAGCCTGTGTGTGAGCACGCTGCGGAGGCCTTGCCTCGCACCTGTTGCTTTCTGCCTGACCTCTCCCGCTGCTTTTTAGCCTCACACCCTACAGGGCTCCCTGGTATCTGGTTCAGGTGGAGGTGGGGCTGAAATGTCTGAGCAGGTGGCTGCGGAGGAGGTCTGAGCCCTGGCCCCTGGGGAGGATGGAGTTATCTCTGCAATATCTAGCTTGGCAGTGAGCACCCCTAAGCCCTCACTGGTAGGGTGATGCACTCTAACCCCGACCCACACATAAGTCAGGATTCAACTCCCTCTGACTACACTTGGCAGAGCGTATCTTGGACTTGCCAGGACAAGGCTGTCCTCCAGGCAAACGAAAAAGCGGGGCTATGCGAGGGGCAGGGAAGGAGGGGAGGGCGGGTCAGGAGCCTGGTTGCAGGGGAAGTTAATTGACCGAGTCTCTTGGCGGCAGCAGCAGCAAGGGCTTACAGGGCCAAGGAGTCTCCAATTGGCTCGGCCAGCCCGGGAGTTCTGCTGGTTTCACTTAGCGCGGAGCGCGCCCCCCACAACCCGCCCTGTCCCCGCGCCTGCGCAGACGGCGGCGTGCCTTTGCGTGTGGCCGGCCTCCTGCGTCCTCCCGTGGGCAGGTCCGGCGTGCAGACTGGGGGTGTGGACCTGCCACATTCGCGAACATGCATGCATTCGTGTGTTTTCTGGGCAAACGTCCACGTGTGCGACGTGGCGGAGTCGTTAGTCTCCGCGTATCCCTGGGGCCTGAGCTGGACACCAGTGCGCCCCCAAAGGAAAAGGCTGAAGAGGAGTGCCTTGTGCTGGCTGCTGGCTGCAAAACTCCTTCATCCCACTGACCTAACCCGTCGCAGCTAGGGCTGAGCCGGCAGAAGCGGCCGCAGGGTGACGGCGCTCGAGGGCGGACAGATTCAAGCTTGCCAAGATCCAGGGGACGCCAAGGATCTCGTGAAGCTCCCCGCGGGCCCCGCCCAGCCTGCCGCTGTCACAGCACTCACTATCACTTCCATCTGTCCAAAGAACGGCTCCACCCGGGGACACAACCGCCATCACCACCATCCTGGCCTGTGGGATCAAAGCGGTAAACACCATCCACACTGCCGCCGTGGCCACCAGCAGCTCCATCACAAGCCGCGCGTCTGCCCCGCCACCCTCCCCACCGCCACCAGCACTGCTGTGGGTGCCTCCTTCACCATCTTGGCCTCCTCCAGCCCACCCAAGACAAGCAGAAAGTGCATCCCATTCCCGCCAGCCCACAGAGTGCTCCAGAGCTCTGACCAGTCCACTGAAGCAGCCGGGACTAGAGGCATAAGTGAGAACTGGCAGACACAGCGACCAACCCACTGACCACCAAGAACAGGCGACCCACAGGTGCCTCTGCTGCGTTAGCCACATCCTTTTCCTGGGTCTTATTTCCATGGGAATGCCCAGGAGAGGGACCTGTGCTTCTAGCACTTCTGGACTGCTTATGGCAGCTGCAGAGAACATGGCCCACCCCTTGCCCCAGTTAGTCTCCTCTGCAGCAACAGACATTGGAATCAGAGTGAAGGAAGTAAAGCGGGAGGTACCCCTGCAGCACTTGCATGGCGGCTTCCAAGTGTCAATGCACAGCTGCCCACATGCACCGGCCTGAGCCTTTCCTCTGTCCAAACAAGCAGCTTGGGTGTCGAATCCCACCTCCACCACCTATGACAAAAGCTGCTGAGCCCTCCACCCCTCCACCCTGTGCTTCCATCTTCATGTGAATTCGGCGTAATCCCAATGCAGCTGCGAGACTGAATGAGAGGACGCAGGGAAAGCTGTGCAGCTGTGCGTGGACTTGGGTGGTGGTGGGATGGGGCGGGGAAGGAGGACAGCCTGGGGAAACTGGACTGTTAGTGTGTGTGGGGGGCTCCAGGCAGGGTGCAGGACAGGGCTAGAAGTCGACGTGTTACTTATAAACACAGAGGCTGCTTGCCCAGGGAGAGAGTATGTGCCCAAGAGACCCAGGTGCAGCTGAGGGTGGCTCAAGGAGCGGGGTCCCTGCCAAGCAGGCGGGAGACCCTCAATGAGTTCCTGGCCCCTGGCTCTGGCCCAGCCCAGCCCCAGCTGCTGCAGGCATTTGGGGAGTGAACCAGCGGGTGGTACATCTCTGTCTCTCTCTGAAATTCAAATAGAAAATGAAAATAAAAGATTTAAAAAAAAAAAAAAAGCCTATGTCTTTTCATTTCCTAAGAAATTCACCAGCAGAGGGAAACGGCTGTTGTGGTACAGACCCTCGTGGGTGGGTGGGAAGGCGTGGGCGAGCTTCCCACACGGGGGATGATGGGGATGGTAGCCAGGGTGCTGGGCAGGGCAGAGGGGGCATGTCAGAGCTGCCCACTGTGATGGTGACAGTGGTGTGGAGACAGCTAGGTCCATGCCACCAATTGGACGGGGACCCCGCCCCCTTCCTCTCCTAACTGCCAAATTCTACACATTTGCTGTCTGTAGTCCCAGACGTGCCGGAAGCCTCTCCCTCCGGACAAAAAAAACAAGGCAGAAACAAAAGGGACCCTTCTCTGGCTGCCACCACCACCTCTGGGCAAGGGGCTACTCGGGGGATGCCTTCTGGAAGGAGGGGTCACCTCCTCCCTCCTTGTCAGGCACAGCCTGGTCCCCGTAGGGAGAGGGAGCAATCGCTTTTCTGCTCACCTTCACAGAAAGCAGGTCTACCCGGTGTTTGCCCCTGGAGTCCCATGGAAGCCCCTGCCCTCCCCACACCCAGCTACAGCCTTGCTTTATGGCGTTCATCTCCCATCACATCCCCCTTTCAGCCACAGAATTGGCTGTCCAGAGCCCCCCTATACCAAGTGAGCATCTGGGGACCGCCCCTCTATGTCACAGGGGCAGAGATACCTGTGGAGCCACTGGAGATGGGGTGCCCAGTTGTCCCTGGGCAGAATTCAGCTGGACCATGGTTATTAGGAGCAAACGTCAGGGAATCCTGCACCCATCCTCTGGGGCCCATTCCCGGGACCCATGCAGACACCCCTCAGTGTCCCCTGCACCAAATGGCTGAGGACAGCTTCTGTGGCCCCTGCTGCCCCTGTCTGAGCAGGCTGTGACAAGCCCCTGGTCCTGCCCCGCCACGACGGACAAGTGCTACCCTCCCCCCCCCCCCAGGCCTTCCTGAACAGGCCTGCCTGTGTCTGGTGCTGGGAGGGGTTGGGGGGGTGAGGCACGGTGACGCCTCTCATGCTGGCCAGCCAGCGTGGCCGCCTTTGGGGCAGGCGATGGGATGGAGCTGGGGACGGCTGCTGGGATGCAGTGGATCTCCACTTGGGCTGACCGAGGCCTGGAAGGATGACCTGGGGAACAGAACGAGGTTCTAACAGGTTCACAGCAGGTCCAGGGCTGGACCCTGAGTGGGGCACTCTCAAAGATGGGGAGTGCCCTGATGTCTGTGCCAACCTAACTCAAAAACCGTGGATGCTCTCTGAATCACACCATAGCCAGCACCCAGCGCCAGGGTCTGCAGCTCCCCACCCTACCTGCTCTTTGTCCCGGGATTCGCTCAAAAATAGCCATCTTCCTGGTGTGGTGGCCAGACCAGGGAGTGTCCCCAGAAGGCCCACAGCAGGAATCTGGGGGAGGCCGCCTGCCGCCTCATTAAAACATTCCGAAGAAAACCCAAGTTCCCGGGAGGGTCCGCTCCCCCCTCTTGCCGTTCTGTCCACAGGCAAGTTCTGAGAGCTGGGGTGGTTGGGGGAGGGTGGGCACGCGCAGAACAGCAGGATGTGATATAAAAAGCTCTGACAAATCAATACGAAAAGGATAAATAACCCACAGAAAGATGGGTAATGGCTCTGAGCTAGCTCTGGCAGAAGACAGATCACACACCCAAGTTGGGCCAGAAGCCACTGGTGCCAGCACATGAACAGGACAGATGTTCAGCCAAGGTGGCCCTGAGGGGTCCCTATATGTACTATGAGACAGCAGGCACCGGCAGTGGGACCCTCCTGGTCAGCCTGGGTGTCAGGAGCACAAACCTGTATGAGCTTTGTGGAGGACAATTTGGCTATGCCTGTTACAATAAAAAGTGTGTATGCCCTCAGGCCCAGTGATGACAAAATCTAGAAATATCCTACTGGGAAGCAGTTATATGGGACACAGGAGGTCATTTCAAGGGGCTTTTCTGTCTAGAGTCTCTCTCTCTCCCTCTGTCTCACACACACACGCAAGATATGAAGACAAAACTTGGACTATTTAATGAAGGGAAGATTCTGGAATAGTATGCAGTATTAAAAAGTGACAAGTAGGGCCCGGCAGCATGGCCTAGCAGATAAAAAGTGACAAGTAGCTCCCACCAAGAGGAAGTTCTCTATTCAACACCTATAAGTACAAAAACACGCTCTGCCCAAGCCTGCATTTAAAAACAAACAGCATGGATTTTTTTAAACAATCCGATTACAACCACAAAACTGAACCCTGGACTATTCTACACACAATGAACTACTGTTCAGAAAGACACCAAATGAGGAATGGGGGACACCTCCCGCACCCCACCCTGACTGTTACAAGGGGAAAGGCATTCCCATTTTAAGCTGTATTTATTATCTGACTCTCTTATATGAAAGAACATATTCATGTATCAATTACACAATTTAAAAATAACAGGAGGATTCTATTTTCCCCCAAAGGTTAGAAGGAAAAGAAAGCACCTCAGAATGGGACCTGCAGACCATCTGCCAGGGACAGCTCGCAGCCTGCTTTATAGGAAGGAGCTCAGCCAGGCAGCCAGGAGGCCTGGGTTCACCCCACACTCACGGGATGGACCCACAGAGCCAGTGCCTTAAAATGGCCGGTCCTCGGAAGTGTCGGGCAGACTTCTGTGACAAGGTCCAGCTTGGAATCCAAACACTGCCACCGCTCAGGACTCCTTGGTCCTTTCCAGTCTTTTTAAAGCAAGCATGCTCCCAACTGCAGGGGGTCTCCACTCCTCCCAGCCAGCTACTCCTTATGTCTCCTCACACCAAGCTCCTGCCTTGCAGGCTGTGGCTTCTCTTCTCCAGGTCTATGGGGGTCCAGGGTACCCTCAGGAGCAGGCAACCTTGAAGACAAGCCCTCCCCACCGCACCACCCCCACCTCCACCTCCAGATCAGCCCACCTCGTCCTCCAAGCTTCACTGCCCGTGACCCTGGGGCCTCCCTGGAAGGCACAGGATGAACCAGCTGAGTCTGGTTGCCACCAGTGACTTCCCAGGGGGAACATTCTCTTTGGCCCCTGCATGGTGAGGTCGCTGAACCTGGGAGCTTGTGTCTTGGAGTCTGCTGACAGGTGGCACACAGGTTTGAGGTTGGGGCTATGAGCTGAGCTTGGTGGGCTTGCTGGGCACTGGTACAGATTTGTATGGCAGGGAAGCCCAGGGTATTGGGGACCCTGTACCGTCCTGTACCTTCCTGAAGCCAAGAAGGTCCAGAACCACTGAGCTGTGTCAGGAGTATGCTGGGAGCCTGCTTTCCCCTAAACCTCATGCTTGGGCAGGTTCTTGGTACATGGCTCAGCTTCCCTGGAGAGCTGTGGGGACCCCTGGAGGCTCAGGACACTCAGATGCAGAGGGCCTGACGTGGAGGTTGGCCTGAGGCAAACAATGGCGGCAGCACATGTGACTGAGATCAGTTGAATGGGGGCAGTTATCAGGGAGACTATCCTGTGATAATGCATGTCAGACAGTGTTCAGAACAGCACCAAGCAGATAGACAGATGTGCGGGGTAAAGCCAGATAAGACCACAGACCTGGGTGTGAGAAAGCACACACAGCACACATGCATGACACTCTTGCAGAGTGCCACCTTCACATGCGCATGAACTCACCCCTGGATTTGATCACTGGTGGTCCCCCCACAGCCCATCCATCGTCACACACTCACGGCCCACCTGCATGTGTGTGCATGCGCAGAGCTCGCCGAGGCAGGCTGGGGAATGACCCTGGCCCCATCGCGCCCTAGTCTCCATCACAGCTCTGGGGTACCTCTGGCTGGGGCCGCAGTGCAGCCAGGATCCAGACCCTGGTAAGTGGAGGCCACTGGGGATCTGAAGGGAAAGGCGCCGAGCGCGGTGCTGCCAGGGAAAGGTTGATCCTGTGCTCTGGGCAGCAGAGGTGTGGAGAAGGCCACCCCAAGCGTGCACAGGCACCTAGCAGAGCTGGGTCTCCAGGGCTCCAGCTTCCCATGGGGGACACGCAGCTGCTGCTGCTTTGGGGAGGGGGTTGCCTATCTACCCCTCTGGAGAGGGAACAGCAGAGGTCTTAATGTCAAGTGCACACCTCTCCCCACCTCCTGAAGAAGGGGTCCCCTGGGGCAGGGCTGCTGGGGGATGTGGCTGAGGGTGGGACACGCCCAGGCCAGGATGCTGCCCCTCTACCTTCGCCTCCCACCTCCCCTGTTCTCACACCTACCCCCTTTGTCTCCATGTCTCCTGAGTTTTCTCCACTGTCCTGTTGTCCACTACACAGGAGCTCAGGTGTCCTAGCCATCTCCTCACTTACCAGAGTCCCCCACCCTGACCCCACCTCACCGCCTCTGTAGGAACGAGGAATGAGAAAGGTCTCCAAGGGACCTCCGTCCCTCTGTCCCTCCCTTTCCCCTGGGACAACGGGTTTCCACTTGGATAAAACCGGACTTGCATACATGCTGGTGTATATGTGGGTGACCACCATACCCGGATGCAGCCCCCAAATCCTACCCTTTGCCTGGGCAATTCTGACCTCAGGCTCATAGCCAGGGTGTTCAGGGCTGCAAACAAAACTTGCAGAAAGCCCAGGACCCCATAAGCAAATTTGGCATATAGCTCCCCGCGGGGGTCCGAGGACCAGTCTTCTGCCCCAGCACGTTGTCACCTCAGGAGCTTACAGGAGCACAGCTCAGGGAAACCCCGGGCACACTCATGCAGCTGGCAGAGCCGCAACCCCAAGCCCAGGCTTCCCAAGTAGGGACGACTTCAGCCATCTGCAGCCCACATTCCAGATACCCCAAGACAACGGACACGGGGGAGCCTAGAGTGGAGGGGACCCCCTACACCTCCGTGTTCAGACCACTGGGAGAAGGCAAGGCGCCGAGCGCGGCAGCCGCGCGCTCCAGGGACCCTAGGGACAGCCAGCAGCCTGTCCCGCGGCGTGAGCAGCGAGGGACTTACCAGTGCGTACGCGGAGCTGAGCACGGGGCAGCACAACAGGAGCGCCAGGCCGGGTGCGATCCGGGCGGCCCCCATCGCCACCGCCTAGGGTCGCGTCCCTCGGGGCAGCCACCGCCGCCGACCCTGGGGTAAGGGGGGTGCAGAGCTGCGTCAGGCCGGGCCGCCCCGCCCACGTCCCGGCCTAGGGGACCCCGGCGTCCGGGCGGCCCGCGGCCCCGGGGCCCGGCGCGGGGCCCATGCGCCGAGGGCGGGCGAGTGAGTGAGCGAGCAAGCGAGGGATGGAATAGAGGGAGGGAGGGGAGGACGGGCAGCAGCCTAAGGCCGGGCGGGCGGGCGCCGAGCGCTGCGGAGCGGCCCGTCTGCCTTGGAGCGGAGAAATCACATCCATATGGCCGGGCCCCCCGCCCCCGGCCCGCCTCTCGCCCCCCTCCCGCGCCGCCTTTTCTTCCTTTTTTTTTTTCCTTTGGGGGAACTGGGAGCTGTGGCTTCGCCCCACGCCCAGTGGGGGAGGGGCGGGGGAGGGGTCGGGGTCGCGGTCTGCGGGGGGCGAGCAGAGCTGTTATTTTTAGCTTGGCGGCGTGGGGCGGCAGGGGAGTCGGGGCGGGGCAGGGGGCGCGTTTGGAGCCGCGCGGGGCGTGCAGCTCCAGGACGCGGTTCCAACTTTGCTGCCGCGGTGCTGAGCCCTTCGCAGCTGCGGCCGCCAGCTCCGGGTTCCTCTGCCCCTGGCCCCCAGCTGCCGCCTCCCGCACCCCCTACCCATCCTCGGTCCGAGCCCCGCCCTGCGTCCGCGCTGCACGAGCGCGCCCGGCGGCCACGATGCTCCGTCGGTCCGCGGGTCGATCGGTCCGTCTCTAGCTTCCCCTCAACCCGGCCCTGGCCTCCCGAGTTTCCAGCCGCCCCAACCAGCTCGGTTTCGGTCACTCCCTCGTTCCCCTCCCCCTTCCCTCTCTTCGAAAACATTTGCAAGTTTCCAAAAAAGCCACCGAGCCCAGCGGCGGCGAGGGGCTGGCGGCTCCACCGGGCTCCGAAGAGGCGCCGCCGACAGCACCGAGACAGAGCGGCCGGGCAGGCCCGGCCGGCGCCCGGAGTCACCCCCTGCCCACCTCCGGCCTCCCCTACCTCCCATCCCTTGGCGCCGGACCACCCCCCCACCAGCCCCAGCCTTCACTTACTCCGAGCACGCCGCCGCGGTCCTCGCCTTGCCATGGATGTCGGGGCCCCCCCGACAGTCTCCCCCAGCCAGCGCCCCGTCCGCGGCCCCGGGGGGGCTTCATGGAGCTCTCGGGATCCCCCCCCCTTGGCCGGCCCAGCCTCCAGCACCCCCCGCCCGGCCGCCGCTGCTCCAAGCCGCCGCCCGCCGCGCGCGTCCCTCGCCTGGGCGTCTGCCGCGCCCCTCCCCCCGGCCGGGCGCCTCTGCCCTCCCCCGCGGCCTCCCCACCCCCACCCGCGTGGCCTCGGACGGCAGCGTGGAGGGACCGGCCGGAGACCCGAGACCCCTGTCCCGGGACGTTTCTGGCCAGGCCGTGGCGGGTGGACACGGGATGTGAGTGTGGGGCGACTTAGTCTCGGAGAGTTCCCACATCGGGGCCTGGGGCATGTGGCGCTCTGCCTTCTTTTCCTCGGGAAGGCACAGAATTTCTTTAGTTGTTTTCCGAGCGTCCAGCTTAAGCTGAGGGGGCAAAAGCAGGCCCTCCTGGCCGCAGGGAGTCGGGGGGAGACCACTCCGTTACTACGCAGTTCCTGAGCGCCGCGCTGCCTTTACGCACACGGAGCAGCCGCCCCGAAGCTGGGTAGGGGGCTCTGGGGAGGCCGCTTGCCGCTGGAGCCCTCCAACCCTGTGGGGCCCCAAGTCTGTTGTCCCGTCTTGGTGAGTCGGGGGTGCTCCGATCCCAGACGCGATCCCGCCGCTGCCCTCTCCCCAACCAGTGTCTTCCAAGCCCAGGTATCCTCTCTGCTCGGCCCATTCAGTGGCTGGCAGGGACACCAGCCCAGAAGGCTCTGCTCAGCCCCCCACCCCACCCTCCAAAGCTTGTCACAGACGTGAAGTGATAGGGTTGGCTGGAGAAGGGAGAGTCCCTGGGGACTGTGAGCTGGGTTAAGTGCTGGGTATGGGCAGGGATGCCCACCTCTTGCACCAGGTGGGGAAGTTGAGATGGCCAGGATGGGCTGGGGGTTCTTGAGGGCGGGAAGCTTAAAGGGAGTTTGGGGGACACCCGTGAAAGCTGTCTCCCAGCCTAAAAGGCGGCCTCTGCCTGCAGGCTTACCAATGGCGCTTCCGGGGCACTAGGGTTCTGCAGCAGGCTGGCCGTCGTTCTCTTCGTCTGTGAAATGGGAGTGTGGACCAGCTGACGCAAAGGGCACCTCGAACTCTGTTGCTTAGTACCCTCCCCTGCTGTTGCGTACACACATGGAGGATGGGGGTCCCGGCGTTTACGGCCACCCTTCTCCAGCGTATTAATTTCTCTCCCAGCTGCCTTCTCTTAGCTGCTCCAGCCCTAGCCCTTTCTCAACAATCTGGTCCTGCTGGGATGACCCCAGCCCACCCACCACCACCCTTCAGCCTCCATCCTGGCTCCCCTCACGGACAAATTTGCTCTCCTGCTTGTGTCTGTGGTTTTCTCCCCCAGGACTGACTGAGCCCCTCTCGCTAGCCCACCATCGCCCACAACCGCCCTTCTTAGGAGGCTGTGCTGTCAGGGCTGCTTCTCGGGCTGTTCGACTGTTGTGGCTGTGTCTGACTCTGAGCTGGGTGCACTGCCTTCGCAGTCCCTTAGGGATGAGAAAAGAACATTCCTGCAGGGACTGGAAGAGTAGAGGCGGAGGGCGTCTGATCTGATATGAGAAGGACTTGAGGCTTGGAAACAAGTCCTATCTGTGTTGGAGAGGACCCGGGCCAGCGGTGCACAGGGCCACACAGGGGGCTCTTGTCAGAGGGGGTGCTCTGCGCCCCTTAAGGGCATACCCCTGCCCCAGCTCTAACTCCTGCACCTCACCTCAGAATTCCCCACTGGACATTCCACAGCTGGGGGTGGGGCTGCTGACCCCCTAACCCACCCCCAAGGCTTCTGGTTAAAGTGCCACCATGGGGGTGGGGGTGTCACACATTAACTGGTAGCACCCCCAGCACCCGGGCCAAGCCAGCCTGGCTCTTTCTGACGGGCAGGCCCCAGGGGCAGTTTCTGGTTGGTCTCAGGTCAGTTTCAGCCAAGCTTGGCGAAGCCCTGCTGGAAGGGGGCGGGGAGGGGTATGAGTCCACACACACATACACCACCCCCTCTGATCTCCAGCCTGGGGCCTGGCAGGAAGGGCCAAGGCGGTCCCTGGAGCACAGAGCTGCAGCCGCTGCTGGACTCTGGCTTCTGCCCCACCACTGACAGGGCTCTGCTGCGGCCACTGCCACCGTGAGTAGGCCTCTGGCCAAGGTACGCAGCCCCTCTGCTGCGGCCACTGCCACCGTGAATAGGCCTTTGGCCAAGGTACACAGCCCCTGGGGCCAGAGTGGGCACCAGATGCCAACAGCAAAGTCAGAGGCTCAGCCCTCTGAAGCCAGGCCTCAGCGGACCCCTCGCCCCGCCCAGGTCTGCCTTGGAATCACCTAACTCCTCCGGCACATTATCCCAGCCCTGGCCCTGGGAGCCAGTGTGTTGTCCCAACCCTACACCCAGTGCCAGCCCTGCCCCCACCTGGTTAACCTTATCCTAGTCTGATCTCTCACCCCTGGCTGACCACCAGCCAAGCTGCCTTCCAGGCCTCACCCCCAGACCTCTCTACTGTTCCAAACCCCCGTGGAAGCTTTTTGAGGCAAGGGGCCAGTAGAGGAGGGGATGGCCAGGCCGTGAGTGAAGCGAGGTGCCACTTTTACAGCCATTTCGGCTGCTCATAAACACCCCCCACCCACCCAGCTGAGTTGCTGCAGGCTCCCCCAGCAGCTGTCGGGGGTAGCCCCTTCCCCTCACAGCAGAGGCCTGCCTGCCTGGCTTTCTGACTTCTCAGGAAGGGAGGGAGGAGGTCCTGCAAATTCTGTAGCTATCAGAATATACTTGCCAAGGCAGCCGGGCATGTTGGGGTCCTGTCCCTGTTGAGCCCAGTGGTCACAGGCCCCTGTTGTCATCCTGTGGACATGCCTTGTGTGTCCCATGGCATGGCTTGGGCACCCACATATACCCCCTGGGGGGCCACACCTCTCCCGGCTGCATGCAGACCCCTGGGTTCCTTGGACCCCACTCACCTGGACCCCATAGGCCTTCCATGGGTGGCAGGACCCACTCAGATTAGCCACTGGGAGGCCACAGGCACCCCCGAGTAGCGTCTGTGGTTCAGGCTGAGGCAAGGGTGTCGCTACTGGGGACAAGATACAGCCTGAGTCAAAGCTTTCCCTTGAAAGGAAAAATTAATGATTTTTGTACCCAGCCACGTACTTACTCAGGACTTTGTCCCATCCCCTGGTGGGGGAATGGAGGCAGGTCCAAGGGTATCATGCTCACATGTGCCGGGCTCGGTGCTTTCCCAGCCCCCTCCCCATGCCTGCCTTCCGGATGTCCAGCCCAACCCAGTCACCCACCCTCCAAGGTATGTGTCCGCCTTGGGTCCTCCCCTCACCCTGCTACCACCCTCTGACTAGCTTTCCTTCTTTCTGACTCAGCATCTCTCATCTCCCATTCCTTCCCTCATTTCTGACATAGCAGGCCTCTGTAGGGCATGTGTGCACTTCCTACAAGTTGTAGGTACCAGGAGACATCTGTTGAGACACGGGGGCTGGTGCAATCCCCATATCCTAGGCAGAAAGACAGAGGCCTGAGAAGGATATGCAGGAACTTCCAGGCAGGAGAGATGGAAGATTTTAAGATTTAGTGGTTTTTTTTTTTTAATTTGATAGGCAAATTTACAGAGAGAAGGTCTTCCATCCACTGGTTCACTCCCCAAATGGGCTCAATGGCCTGAGCTGAAGCCAAAAGCCAAGAGCCTCTTCTGGGTCTCCCACATAAATGCAGGAGCCCAAGGCTTTAGACCATTCGCTGCTGCTTTCCCAGATCATAAGCAGGATTGGAAGTGGAGCAGCTGGGATTAGAACCAGTGCCCGTAAGGGGTACCAGCACCACAGAGTAGTGATTATCCATTGAGCC